GGGATAGGGCGCACCATCTGACATCCACGCAGCGCGCATTTTGATACGAATGCAATCTCGTGTCAATCCTAAAGCTTCCCACCCTTCTCACTTGGAGAACGCGTCTCAGCGTGAGGGAGCGCGCGTTAGGGAGAGGACACGGTCAACGTAATGCCATAAATATTAATTCGCGCGATACACATCAACGCGGCGAGATACGGAACGTGATTTACCGGAAGCGATAGTTTATGGCAGCGGCACGACACGGCCGTCGCACCAGGCGCGATCCAGGTCGTCACCACAGGTGGCGACTCCCTGGACGCTCATTTCGCATCACACATTTTCGCATCCCGCGTACATAGCGTACGTAATTATTATCTTTTCACTTGCACAATGTATTTGGTTTTCTAAACGCTGATCGAGATGTGCGTTAAACTTTTCTACATCATATATTCAAATTTCCATTTAGACAACTTCTATCCATTTGCAGCAACTTTCAAGTAACAGAATAACGTTTCTATTCATCGTGCAACGAATTCGTGGCAGCTATTTTCTGTTAAAGAATTTTCCAGGTGATCATTTCTGCCGCACGAATATGCGCATTAAGGAACTTCCGATGACTTGGAGAAATTCCATTTGCATTATACCCCGCCACTTTGGAGACTAGATTCGGAATTTGCTGTGTATATCGTAGGAATATCCGCCAGCTGATTAAACCAAGCCGACCGCGTCTCTCGGGAGACGGGTTCGAGATCCATAAAGCCGCGTCTACACCTTCCGGGCGTTCATTATGTGAATTGATACGAGCTTCCGAAACCATCGAGATGTTAGTCGGAGAGGTTTGATTAAACAGAAAGCGGGGTTCATTGCTATTCTGCGGCTACGCGATACGATGCTTCGTATTTGTTTTAAAAGAAAAAGAAAAGACAATGTATATGTAAAGGAAAAAAAAAACGAAAGAAGAGAAGAAAGACGAGGAAGGCCAAGGTGAATATGGTACTGTCCGCTGACAGTTCTCGCAGTTTCCGGTTAGTTCGTTCGGAAGGAAAGTTGTAGCAACACCTTGACTAGATACATCACTTGCCTCTTTAGTCTAATGCGATAGTTATCGAACTATGAAAAGGACGATGACAGAAGAGAAAGAAAGATAGATAGGCAGATAAACAGATAGATAAATAAATAGACAGATAAATAGATAAATGGATAAAAAGATAAAGAAATAAAGAGAAAAAGAAGACGAGAGTGCAGCAAAGTAGGGATAAAACGAGCATAAAACCGCCGAACTAATCAGACTCAACCAATCCGAATCCTTTCCCCGCGGAGAAGAGAAATGCTTCCTCCCGGTAGACAGGATAATTTAAACTTTCCCGCAAGCGGGCACACCGCGACGCGGTGTGACGCGGTGTGGTGTGCGGCGCCGCGCCGCGCCGTCAACGTACCTCGGTCACTCCGCTAAACGGAATTAGATACGAGCGTTAGATTCAAACGTTACCCACCGTGAAAAGCGGCGAATCTCCTAGGTATACACCGCGCGAACACGCAAAGTGTCCGAAGTGAATCACTAAGGATCCTTCGTGAAAATAGACTGTAGCCGAGCAGTGCTATTAGGGCAGTTCAAGTGAAGATCCCTGAGTTTTCCGCGACGACTGAAATTCGGCGCGGCTGAGAAACGCTAAATTCAACTTTCAAGAATAAATACTCTCTTCTGAGCGTAAAATGGTAGCGCGTAACTTTCTCGCTTTACATAAGCTAACGTGTTTATACGAGTTATCCCGAATTGACGACAGTTACTAAAAGTTTACAGTAACTGTTCATACGTGGAGAATGTTTTCCAGCCAAACGTATGATGAAAGAGCCATTATAATGGCGTAATAAAACAAAGTGACGAGTGAGATGCGTTTAAAATGTTTGAAGGAGAGAAATGCGAAAGTGAGATAAATTTAGAAAATTCACAGGTCTCGCATTCTGGAATATATCACAACTTTTAATCGGTATCGGAAAAAAACTCGAAAAATTGTCAAGCGCGCTGCTGTCGTTCACGGCAGAATAATCGGAATTTTCGCGAAGCAGAGAGAATTCCGTTCGGTCTTAATTACAGCGGAGTCGGAAGAGACATGTTGCATCAGATGCGAGCGCGACATTCGCGCACCTTGTGTCGCATGATCCTGTTGTGGATACGAAACAAAACTTCGGTTGTGACGGTAATTACGCGGGGGACTTCCGTACGCTACTGTTTAAATTAAGCCATTCCACCAGGGGATGAACCGATTACGCACTCAACAGGATTTATCGCCGTGTTTGGTGTTCACCAGGCATCATCTTACCCCGGATCTAAATAAAATGTCACGCTGTGATAAAGGCTGCGGCGCGCAAAGAATGAATTAAGGATGAGTACAAGCAAAAAGAGATTTAATAGCATTTCCACGCAGCTATAAAACAGATTGAATTGAATCGTTGTTTGCGATTTAAACCAAGTCTAAAAAAGAATACCATGAGAACGATTATTATTTTTGTTAGAACACATATTTCTGTGTTTAAAAAAAAGATGTTAATATTTCAGTGATATCTTAATCATCAGCAATTTAAAATATCGCGTCTGTTATTTATTTCAGATTAAAATATAAGGAAACTAATTTAGTATAATTTCATTACCTTCTCTCTTATTCTATTTTAGATATAAGAACTTAGTATGTAAATATAATCACCACTTTAAATAGTATTTCCGTGTACACATGTAGAATGCTTCTCTCGTACTCTGGGAAATATCGAACGCTCAGTTAAGCCGAGCGTCTGATTTATCAGACGTTTGCGGTGGCATCGCGACTGCGCGAATGAATAACGTGATAGCGGAACACTTCAGAAACGAACTAAAAATTCAGCGGTGTCGTCGGGGAAGACGGGGGCAATTTAGCTTTCCATGAGAGAGCAAGAGCGACCCCAAACTCGAGAGAAACTTGCCCCCCTCCCGGAACAGCTGCAGGGAAGGATATACGGTATGTGTGTGTCCTTTGACGAAAACATCCGTACGAGCCGCTGGCAAAAGGACCCCCTTTCTCGTCGGTATTCCGCTCGCCTATGCCGCTAACGGAATACATTACTTTTTAACGACTCGCGCTAGAGATGTCCTGGTCCTCTCTGATAAATAGCGAATTTCCAGCGCGGCGCGAATTCCGACTCGAGAAATCAGCAGAATAGCGTTATCGGGAGCGGAACGATGGCGACGACTACGAATCGGTACGAATGATTCAATTTGAATAATGTCACGCGCTACATTACTGTAGATTGCCGCTCGTGAAAAACGTGATGGCAAAGAAAGAACTTCCCTTTGTCAGTCACTTCGTAATTCTACTTATTTTCTATTACTTGTTATTTTTCGAGCAGGATTGGAGAGAACAATCACGCTTTCTGTCTTTCAGATAGATTTTTGGAATATATAATATACAACTAAAATGTTATAATATCGTTTTAGTGAAATCAAAAGTCATGTTTAATTTCATCGGTATCTAACCGTACGAAGCGGCACGAAAGTAATTATATATATGTTATAAAGTTAAAAGTTAAATTCGTTTATGTCGTTCATGCAATTGTACAATCAGGAACAAGAGAGAGAGACAAATATCAGCAATTCGATTAATAGCAATCTGAATTAGGGTCGAAATAGAGCGCGTGTTTACACGCGTGCGGAAACTCGATTGTTTTCGTAAAAGAGTAATGTCACGAGCCCGAATAAAAATCAAACTGGAACTCATCGGAAATAATTCGCGTGCCGCAGTACGGCGATCGTGTGTATTTTTTAGCGTTACCGTTCGAGCGCGGCATCGCAGTCGAAGGTCGAAAAATTGGAACGTTTTAGCGACGGGGAGAGATACAGCCTCGGCTGTACCGAAACGAACGCACGGAAAGCCGCTAACGCCCCGCTTCAATTTTCTTCTGTGAACCCCTGACCGACCGTAAAACGCGAATGGCCGCTTGTACGAGCGTAATGTATCGATAAAGCACTCACAGGGCTCGTCGCGAAATACATAACATATTCTCTTCGGACGCGTCATTTCACGCTGCAACGCGCGATCGCAAAGCGATCTAGTGCGCAATTATGATGCAGGCAAACAGCTCGAAATACAGTAGCGGCTGCGCTGTTTCATTTGCAATTAGAAAATACAATTATAAGATTTATAGAATCGACGTCCGATTGCAAAATGCAACGCGAATCCTGCGTGCACTCGATCGAAAATGCTACGATGAGGTTACGAGAAAGCAAGCCGAATTACCTTAATCACGCTTTAACATCTTCATTTTTGTACAAGTTAATGAAGTAACGTATCATCGTTTGTCCCACGTCCACCTAGGCCCGCAGAACGTTCTCATTAATCGAGAGGTTTACGCTAATTACGCTAATGAGCGTGCCAGAATATAGTACGAGCGATCATGAGTTTTAGCACTCGCGTTTAGTCCGAGCGCTTTCAGTACCTCGTTTGAATGTATTTCCGAATTAAATTTCATGCCTATAGAATGTGTTAAATCGAATAGGTATCTGTATTCTTTATCGCGCGCCGGATTACATACGCTCGATGTAGCATACAGTCGGCGCGCGGTATAAATCGCATGGTTACATGCTCAATCGGTACTCGTGATGAATAATAAACATTATTACGATAATAATTATGATAATATTATTATTTTACGTTAATGCAGTGATAATAAATGTAATTAATATTGTAACGCGCGTAAACATAATCCATAGAACACAAATAATCGAGTAGAAACATCCTTGGTATAAACGAAATAATAATATAACATCGTATATCATTATTATTCATTCTTCCTAAAAATCCAATTCTTCCCTATAATTTCACAGAATTTCTATTTAAAATGTTACAATCAAAATATTGTAGTGATCGGAAAACGAGCCAATATCGTTCCAAATAAATTTCATGTTATTATTTAAAAATATATATATATAAATAATTCTGTTTCTACTCGTCATTTCTTCTTAAAAAATGAATAAATTATATAAAACTCACCTCCTCTCGGAGAATCCGTAGGACGTTGTCTTAAGCCTGCAATAAGAAAAAGAATTTCTTTTAGTCTCATACGCACGATGAATTGGAATAGGTATGAAGAAAGTGTACTATCGTATAGATAGTACATCCTTTTGATAACATAGCAAAGAGAAGAGAACTAATATAGAACTGAATTTAATAAATTACTTTCGATATGTACATTAGTATTGCAAATTACATAAATGTAATTGATATATATTAAATTCTATACACGAATTGATCTCGTGTGCATAAAGAAAGGCAATATAAATAGGAAAAGCAGTTTAGTGCAACTTCAAAAACAATTTATTTACGATAAAACAAAACATTTTGGTTAGCCAGTGGTACACATATACCTAGTACATATTGCGGTTTTACTTTGTAAATAGTCGCACTATCAATTTCGTGCTCAGATAAAAAAATATTTATTTTCGACGGTACGAGATTTACGTTTGTGAAACACAATAATACAAATAACTTGTTCCACTTTCAAGTTAAAATTGCTTAAAATAAATAGAATTTATAAATGTATATTTTGCTGGATTAAGTATTCAAGCACTAAAATATCAAATTATTAAAATTAATGTTTCAAACATTAATTTGTAATGTGGCTTTTGAAAAAAAATTTATCGTTGTCTTATTGATATATTTATTGAGATGAATTGTATATTAATTTTTAAATTGATTAAAATATTATTTTTAATATTTATTAATATATATGTATTAAAATGTAAAATATATTATTTTTAAAACTCAAAATTGTTTTAAAAAATATATTAATTAATTGCAAGGAAAACAAAAAGAGACTAAAAATAAATTACTTCTCAATCCTCAGAAAACAATTTGACAATTAAGCAATATTTGCAAAACAATACTATATATTTTATAATGTTAACGCATTTTTATGCTAAAATAAATAGAATAACAAAATTCGTTTGAGATGCCTCGAGATCACTTCAGTGACCAGTGCATCCTGATTCCAACATTTTCCGCCATTGTTATACTGGTTGAAACTACTAAACCAATTGGTTGGGACCAAGGCGCGGAGGTGCAATCTAAACTTTCGAATTCTACGAGTTGCAGCCCTTGAGGCCCTCGTGTAACCCTTGCAACGGCACTCTCACAACCGCGTCCTGAATTGCACGCTCAACTAGATTAATTCTACGAAATATTCGAAACCCACCACAAAAGCCAAAGAATTAATTGCTGTGTAAATTTATAAAGCGTCTTCAATATTTTTCGATTAATAATTTTAATAGGTACCTTTAATAGGTACCTTTAATAGGTACCTGATAAAAACGTGATCAAACAAAAAGATATTGTAAAAACGAGTTTTATAGATACCACCTTTTCTCTGTTATCCTAAATTTAAAACATATAAATATAAAAGATTGACATTTTTGTGGAAACGCAATTATATTACCGCGTAATCTTCTTTTGCCGGGGATCAGCAGCTTAAATTTTATTAGTTTTCACGAATAACAACCTGTTCCTCATTTTATATAACGCGTGGTAATAGCTTTTTTCTCTTTATTTTCTTCCCTTCAACGTTAACAACCTGATGGATCCTTCATATTGCCAAGGGGAGCTGCAATGAATAACAGGCCGATTTGTGGATTTACACCTTCGTATTCCTAAGGGACCGATGTAGTTGTAGAAGGCATATGTCTTTGAAATGCTTCATACAAGCTCTCTTCCGAGAAAGTATCTCGCACGTCCCACGCTCTTTACTTGACGAGAGAAGAGATACTAATTGTAAACGTCAGAGTTAAAACACTTGCATTCCTATCAACGTGCAAGCGCATATTTGATATCATCGCATACGTTATTTTGTATTACATACTCTAGCTTGCATTTTCTTAATTTTTTTACTTTTAGTGTTCATTATAACATAATTTCTCTTTGTCTATTCTATACAAATATCATTTTATTATCTATTATATATCACAAAATTTTTAATACTATCAAGCATTACTGCCCTAATCGAAAAGTTATTTATTTAATAAAGAAATATTTTAAGTTAAAAATTTTTACATAATTTGAAATAAATCAATAAAGTAAAAATTAAATATCTTAATTTGTGAACACACAAGTATCAATCCTAAAATTAGTCAAAAATGTAAAATGTATCATTTTTAATGTATATTAAAAAAGAAAAATTATTAAAGTAATGTTATATTCTTTCGATCAAGCCTTATGTTATTTACATAAAATACAGTTTGCATTAAATTAAACTAAAAATATTGCTAGCTATATATATTCAGTATTGTATATTATATGATAAATTAAAAGGCAGAGCGAGGAAAAGAGAAAAAAGACAGAGCTCTTAAACTTTGTGTGGAATATATATAGGTTCACAATAAAAAAAGATTCAAAACCAGTTTAAAAGAAATTAAAGTCTTTCCACTTTATACGATAGCTTTTTTACTTTGAATGATTTTCTGGAATTCTAATAATCAAAATTGAACTGTGTAAATTAGCCCTCAGGAATACACAGCCTCGTTTGAACTTTATCTGCTTTTGAACTCGATATCAGGCCCGGTCCGAGTTGCCGAATTACAAATCCGACATGGCGCACCGGGATAAAGGCAACGAATCCTGACGCGAAAAACGAAGGGAGCGGGAACGGGCGAGAAAGAGGAGAAAAAGGAGAAGCGAAAAACGAATGTATTTCAATCTCGCCCGTTCCCGGCCACGCTGCCGGAGTTTCGAAAAACTTTCGCTACTTCGGGTTCGTCCGGCTGACTGAGTTTTTGAAGCGGCTGGCTATATATAGCGGACGATAGTTCAGTGAGTATGCACGTTCCTACAGTCAGATTCCAATCGACGAGCTTCTTGCTCCAAACTTGAAAAAAGGGCAATATTTAGCTTTAACCAAAGTGACTTTGAAAATGAACGGTATTGTCATCTTGAAGACAGCGGAAACTTTACGCATTTCGTAGTCGCTTCACTGTCACCACTATCTTCACAATAATCAAATAACTTATTGATGTCGAAATTATTATTGTTATCATAACTTTTTTTCTTTTATCTTTCTTAAGACAAATACGATAATTGTGTAAAGAAATAATGTTTTGAATTAAAAATAGAAGCTCCGTTTTCTTAATCACAGCTTACTTTTGAGACTGTAAACCCGCGATAAAAGACTTTTTAATCATTTTCATTGATATAATATACAAACTATACTCGCGAACACAATGTTTAACACGATCTATTTTTTTATACTATTCAAGAATTTTTACTGCAGTGGATTAAAAACTTCAATATTTACTATATCAACTAACTGTTACGAGACGTAAATATACCAAAGAAAAGGTAATATAGCGGGTGAATGGCAACCACATAATGGCGTATTGTAAAGCTGAATGCAAACAAAAACGAACAAATGTCTTTCGCAGTAAACTTTAATAGTCGGACGATACCGCGAGGAGTTGCAGATGCGATTAAGCGATAGCTTACTCCAATAAAGATGAAGAAACGACATCTTTCATAAAAATATAAGCTCCCTCCGTTACGTATGTGAGCGTTCAATCGCTTCTTATGCCATTTACTCCCCTCTATATGTAGCGTGAAACGATCAACGTCCGTGGAAGACATCGCCCTCCGATCACATCCTGCGTTCATCCCGATCCGGACTCGCCGCTCTCGACATATCGCGCACCTGCTAGTACAATCGATCCTAAAACAATCGACAGCCCAAAGTTTCGTTTCTGTAAATCCGGGCCAGACACGAAAGAACGTACGCGACGATGATTAATCGATCGCCGTTCGTTCGATTTACGACGTTCGCGAGTACGAACCGATCGTTGAGACTCGAGAACGAACGAACGTACGTACGAACGAGAATCGATCATCGTGCAAGTAACATCGAGCAGAAACGTCCGAGGGTTATCCGTGGAAAATGATCACGTAGATTACGCGAGTGCCTGACACGGAAAAACGGTGAAAAACATCGTCATCGGGGACAATGACGACGACTGTGACGACGATGACGACAAGGACAGCGTGGATGACGACAGTCGATAGCGGCCATTCATAGACGAGCTCGCTGCTGCCAGCGCACAGCTCGTACATTCAAACGACAATATGTATCATACGTATGTATGAGTGAGGTTGTAAGTTCCACAGGCAGGAGAAGCGAGAAAGATAAGGGAAACGTGGGTAGACTCGCACTGCTCGTAGCGCCGATAAGAGATCGCACCCAACTTAACCGCCTTGCACCCCACGAACGAACAAACGACGGCAGCAACCCTCACGAACGATCGATAGATAGATAGAGAGAGAGAGAGAGAGAGAGAGAGAGAGCCAGCAAGGCGAATGATATTCTCGGGATGGTTCCTTAACACCTCTGAAGCAGCAAAATATTTCACCTATATGCAGGACGATAGATATGCACGCCGTTTCCAAGTATGATGACCGTACTTTGCGAGCCGATACCGGAAAAAGAAACTCGCGATTTGTTTTACGAGATCGTCCCCCGACGATGTTCGACCACGTTTCGCCCTTAACCGCGCTCGTTCGATTTATCGTTATTATTCGAGGAACGATTTGTGAAAAGTGATGCGTATACGGCGTATATGACGATCAGTTTTGAACGGTAGAAAAAACTGACTTCTTCCCGAGAGAAATTTAAATATTGAAGCGCTCACTCGGCATATATAGAACTTGGTTATTATACTGAAGTGAAGTAAAATGAGTAAACTGGAATTTTCAAAGAATTCCAATATCGAGATATTTGCGGAAAATTTCAAAAACTTTCATTGATAGATTTTATAAATAATCACCGTATAAAAGTGTTTCTAAATATACTTGATAGTGTTTCTTGTAAATTGATTGCATTAAATGTATTCGTTTACACAGCTTTGCTCCGATAATTAAGCAATTATAGCTCTGAGAATATTTTCATCCCATTTAATTATTAAATAACATTGGTTGCGTACAAGTTTACAAGGATTCCATTTCGCAAAATAATTAAAAAATAACGGAAAATATACATTGTGATATATTACATACAAAGA